CTTGAGCTCTCTCTCCTCTCTCTCCAACATCAACCAGTACCCCAACTGGGCTGCGCAGATGAAGGGCTATCTTGTTGAACTTGGACTTATCCGGTCCGGACTACACGAGGCTATGCGTCTCCTAGCGCTTAGCTGTAGTCGCTTATGTAGTATGTTACCATATTTGGGACTCTCTGCTCATGTACTATAGCTATGCTTCCGGACTCTTCTGGTACTGTCTAGGACAATCCGTACTACTCCAGAACGGTCTAGACAGGTCTATGCCTTACTCATCTCTTACTCATCCTATGGTGCGATACGTCGCAATTCTTTCGTCGTTGTATTATTCATCGCACTATGGTACATGTGACTAACCACTCTTTGATTAGTCATGGACACTTCTCTGTAGTATATAAGGACTTCAGATTTCGTCCTCCCTCTTCAGTCTTTCCTTACTGACTGAAGAGTGAGTACTTGCTTACCTCTACCTCTAACTTGTAGTTACCTACTTAACCTTTGTAGTCTTGCTTCGACTCTAGGTACAGTTGGTTACTGCAATATAGTCTTTCCTTACTGACTGAAGATCTTGCTTCGACTCTAGTCGGATCTAATCTTTGTCTTCACAGCTCCGAGTTTATCAACCTACCTTCTCCAACCATACGGACCGGGACCCTCCACCTCTCAGCGCCAACAACACCTCAGAATCCGCCGTTCCCCCCCTCCAAGCCCACCAGCGCTCAGTACAGCGCCCCTTCCCAGCAGCACCACGATGTTTGCCATGTGCAGCCTCACGTCAGCATCCATGTTCCTGATGCTCAGTCTAAGTGCCTATACCCCCGGCAAGGCACCGCCACCAAGCTCCCTCCCTCATGGTCTCACGATCGTTAGATTAGATAAGGATCACCCCACAGTAGTTAGTACGACGTACACCCCTCTGCCTCATGCCTAGTACTTAAGCCCTCAAGCCTCTGGCTGTGCCAAACGCGTACAAATAGTTACATGGTCTGTGCACCGGTCTACAGGTATATAGAGTAGAGTCCTTTAGCCCCTAGTCCCCATCTTGACCTCTTACGTCATTGGGGACTAGGTGAGTTACCGTTTGTATCTTTGTGCTCGTCAATATACTTACGTCATTGGGGACGTGCCGCTACGTCTTGCTGGTAGGTTTGTGCCTCCGTGCTGCCCCAGCCCTTTCGACCATTGGTTCGGTTCCCTGGTACGTTGGTGCCGTGCCGTGCGAGACCTCTCTGTCTGTGCTGCCGCCCGCCCTCTGCCTTGTATACCCCTCTCTTTCCCTCTCCTCCTACGTCCTCAGTCTTACACTATGCTCGACTCGGCGCCGACCACTGAGCCTCGGGCCGTCGCGCCTAGTCTCCGCGACAAGGACCTCACTCACTGCCAGGAGCTCATCGACGAATTCCATGAATGGAACCCCACTGCCCCACGTCGAATTGCAGCGGCCATCTTTCAATCTCTCCCCTGGCAACCCCTCATCAACTTCACCGCTGCCGCACCCTCCAACCTCGAATGGGCTTCCGGATGCCGACCAGGCGCGTAGACTCAGGTCGACATTCGGCGATGACCCCATAGGCAAGCGGCGAGGAGCCGAAAGGAAAAGAGAGAGAGAGAAAGAGGGATAAACATGGCAGAAAACTTGACGAGGGCAGAGTGGAGGTCGGCACGAGGGCACAAGACCTACGAAAGCTAGTCTTCACGCAGACAGCGACAGACTAGTCCCAATGACCAAGGTATACATTAGCACTCGAGGGGAAATACAACGCTATGGTCACTCACCTAGTCCCAATGACCAAGAGGTCGAGATGGGGACTAGGGAGCGCCTAAGGGGGTCCTTATATACTAGAGGGGCTGCTTAGCAATCAAAGACAAGGCGCGAGAGTGAGGCAGTGAAGATGACAAAGGGAGAACAAAGGGCGAGAAGGAAAAGGCAAGGGTATGGCGATCACGGGAACGTAGCATGTGGGTGTGGGAACGTATCTACAGTATCCAAACTGGGATGGGCTCGAAAAGGAAATGGTCCGAGAATGGAAGGTGGGCGTCAAAGCCCAGTGAGAATCGACATGGGCTCTGCTGTTTTAGGTCGATTAGTATGGTATCTAGTAGGGAACCCCGAAATCATACATAAATGTACCGTTTTCCCTACTTCGGCTGTATGCTGTCGGATAAGGCGGTATGGTCGTACGATGCCATACAAACATCCGTCGGGTTACCTTGTGCATGATCAAGTGCGGCTGATTACGCTCGGTTCGCGCTCGGGTCTGGTCGGGCAGGGATGGTTGTCGTCGAAACACGTCATCGAATGCGAATTGATTACTACTGTATAAAGTGGTATGCGGTCGTATGGCTATACGGTACGATACAGCTACAATCAGAAATTGGCGAATGGAGGCGGGGCAGACTGGAAACAGTTGGATTTGATGGGATACCGACGGGACCAGCCTCTCATGCCACTAGCACGGGTGCCATGCGGCCGTGGAGCTGCCCGGATGCGAGCCAAGGACACAGGTGGGAGGCCGACGCTTCCGACGTTCGACCGAAACGCGCCCGATTGCGAGACTTGGGATGTCCTGAAGGTGGCCTCGTCAGAAGGGTTCGGCGATGAGACTCAATAGGAGTGCTCCTCACATACCGGTTCGGCAATGGGACTCAATAGCGGTGCTCCTCACGTACCGTCTACGAGGGAGCAACACGTCCGAGTTTCTGGGTCGAGACTTTGAGCAAGCAGACACAGGAACAGAGTTCGGGCGACCTACCCTGCGATCCGAGGCACTTAGGGTCTTGTAGTGCGCCTCGAAGGCCTCTAGCGTGCCGTTGGAATCCGCGTACCATTTGCGCGCGTAAAACCACCTATGAGAGCGATTGAACCCGGTACCTCAAACCGTCAGTAAGTTACAAGGTACGTACTTTGCGCCCTTCATGTCGGGGGGGGAGGCCACTGCGTCGTCTTGCGAGGGGCACGCGTTTTTTTGGACGCCGTGACCTCCGAGGGCTTGTCAGCACGCTCGTTCGAGGGGGCAGTACCTGTGGAGGTCACGTCTTGGGGCGGGGACGCAGAAATGTCCACACCACCCTCCGCGGGGATATCGGGATCTGTGGGCGTAGGCGGCGAGGGAATGACGTCGGCGGCGCCCGAGACCGTGGCGAGTGTTGTAAGAGACGCAAGGGGCGACAGTGCAGGGGGGGCCTGCGTGGGGAAAGGGATCGTCCTCGACTGGCGAGATCTACATCATATCAGCCACAGCGCATGCCAACTCGTGGACCATGAACAAGCCCCTTCCTATCGAGAATCGCACGCTCTCGATGCAACAGATGCATACGCGCAATCAGCTTGCTAAGTGATGATTGAGAGCTCTCCGACGATTATCGAGGCGCTCATGCACTGAGCTCCTCCGGTGCGTGTATATGCGTCGGACGAGCTCGGCGCATATACTCAACGCATCTCTGAGACTGCAGCCTAAGGAAATCAAAAACTCACCTCGCGGGATGCCTCGCGGTCTTCACGTGGGTCGTTTTGAGGCAAGGCAAATGATGCTGCCACAGACGACGGGCCAGGCTGTAAATTGTCAGGTGTCCGTCGACGCCTTCTACGGGCCCTCGCAGATGACTGCCCCGTGTTTCGAGCCGAATGTCCGGTGCCGAGCGCGCGCTGAAGGGCCTCTTGCAATCGTTGGTTGCGATACCGAGCATGTTTGCGATGCGTCGATTCCGACACCGCGCGTTCCTGGCCTCTGCAGTGCCTGGTACAATCGCAGTACCATTTCCGAGGCTTGGAGTTGGGTGACGGGGACATTGCGAAGAGGTTGCGGCGATGTCGTTTGGAGGAGTGTAGAAGTGGCGGGATTGGGAGTAGGAGCAAACACAGACAGACCTGAGATGGCTGGCCCAAAGAGCACACGCTGGTTCGTTGACACAAAGTAATGTATTACCTAGCTAGAGACATGTTAAGGACAACTCAGAGACGTCACCGGTGTCAGGACATGCACGTCCGATCCGGTCACCGTAAGGTCAGTTAGAGACGTTGTTTGAGCGCCTAAACCCGTCCGCCCAATATTAACCGAGACCTCCCGACTTCAACCGCTCTGACCCAACTTTCCCCGATGTATACCAGCTGAGCCCATGTACGTTCTCACTGGGGTCAAAGAGGAGGGGATGGGCGGCAAAAAGGGGCGCCTGTCCAACGTCCGTGACATTACCCCCCTCCTAAGGTCCGTCGGTCCCCGATGGACCCAAGGCTGAGTCACCGCGACAGTATTATGTTCTGTGCATATATACCATGTTGTTACTACGCTAGGAACGATGATGCCCAGTTCGCTGTCGGTGCATGCAATGTCTTGCCATATCTGGAATGTGAGCTTGCAAGTCAAGCTGTGGCTGGGGCCTGGCCAGGGAGTTGGCGCCCAGCTAGCCGGATCTCGGCTTAGCTTGCTCCGGCTTGGTGATCCAGCGCGATCCAGCTCGTCAGCTTAGCTTAGCTTAGCTGGCTTGGCGGCAACACTACAGGAGCCCGGATACCCCCGGTTTTTGGTATCCGCTTCAGGCTCCGAACGTCTGGTCACGAGACTAGTCCTCTCGAGGCGCTATCCGCGTCTGCGAAGCTGGCGCTCCGCTTGCGCCCGGACAGCTGACAATGCAGACCTTACAGCACACCACCAAACCGTATACATTTAGCGCAGACGTGCAAAATCACACCGGAGGCCAGTCTAGCGCTCTCAGCACCACTGCCGCACGCCATGAGATCCAGAACGGTCGCACGCGGCTGCCCAACAGCCTGAGTGCAATATTGCCGCGCCCATGCACATGCGCGAAGTCTTGTTCAAGAGTCTCATACTAAGATCGTCCATTCGGTACGGCGTCCGCAACTGCCAACCCTGCTCAAGATGGTTCGGGCCAAGGGATCCGGGACCAGGTGCGTCACAAATGTCACAAAAGCTCCCAATCTCAATCATCCGATACCACTGATGTCTCGCGCTCACAGGCCCATTGACATCAGCACAACCAGGCGCTGTTCTGCCACGAATGCCGCTGGGGACAAGCGGTCAAGTAGGGCGGGTGACCAGCTCGAGCTATACACAAGGTGGCAGAGATCCGGGCACCTTGTGAGCAAATGCCACGCAGCCTTCTGGACAGTGGATCACCTCGTCTCCCGTCGCAAACGCTGCCGCTCAGACTGGATCTAGTCGATAATATATATACCGTACTCCTGAACAAGGGCCCTCAGTCGGTCTATACTGTGACAGTCTCCTTTCGCTGCCCTGCATGACTTTCAACACCTCTGTCGACACCGTCCGAATCCTGGACATCCACCCTCGTAGTGTACCTACCCCAGGCTCCTCTATTCGCGACCAGGTCATTTCTGGTCTCATGAAACCTGCTGGGCATAAAACCTTACCTAACATCCTTCTATACGACGAGCGTGGCCTCCATCTCTACGATGAACTCACCTCCGACGCCGCGGAATACTATCTCTTCGCTGCGGAGAAGGAGATTCTCCAAAGCAAAGCAGCCGAGATCGTGAAGGCCATGCAACCAGGTATGCATGATGGTGCACTTGTGGACGGAGTCATAGTGGAGTTAGGCGCAGGGTGAGCCGATGTTCTACACTTTGACCTGGAAAATAATTTCTCCAGTGATCTTTCACTCGTCTACAGAGTCTGGTATCGACATCTGATTTCCCCCTTTCTGCAGTGCTCTTAGGAAGACATCTCTGATCTTGGGTGCACTTGCTCGCCTCGTACCCTGCCCGTCGCCTATCCCACCCATAAGCTATTACGCTTTGGATCTGGAGAAGCGCGAGCTTGAACGCACGCTCCGGGGACTCGGCCTCTCTGAGGTCGGTACCGAACTCCAAGGCAAGATCGCGACTGCAGGGCTGTGGGGCACATACAATGATGGCCTTCAGTTTATCACAGAAGGGAGGCTCAGAGATGAGGACGTCGGCGTGGGGGTGTCCGGTGATGGAATTGAGGGAACCGAAGCCATCGGTCCCCCTACGCTCAGCTCTCAGCAGCCTCTCCACATTCTCTTCCTTGGTTCTTCACTGGGCAACTTCACACGGGAGGATGCTGCCGGTTTCCTGAGGTCCCTCCCACTACGTTCCAGCAGTCACGACACGCTACTGCTGGGTATGGACCACGGGAATGACGCGCAGAAGATCAGGATGGCATACAACGATACGAACGGCGTCTCAAGGCGATTCGTTATGAATGGTCTAAGGTGCGCAGGTCGTGTGCTCGGCGAGGAACGCTTGTTCGATCAAGAAAAGTGGGAGTACGTCGGGACATACAATGAGCAGCTGCGTAAGCGGGTATTCACGTGTTCTTCCAACGGCGGCTGAACAGACTTGAAGGTCGTCATGAGGCGTACTACAAGTCGGGAAGTGATCAGACAATCATAGATCCGGAGACAAAGGCGACCTTCCCATTCGTCAAGGATGAACTCATTCGCGTGGCATTTTCGCACAAGGTAAGACGGGCACGATGTCGTCTTCCAATTGTACACTGATAGCATGTCTACAGTTCTCTGAGCAAGATACGTATACATTGTTCACAGAGGCGAACTTGCACCCGGTACATCGCTGGACTGATAGTTCGTCCCAATATTCTCTTTGGCTTCTCCAGCGCCAGATAGCTCCGAAAGTGTCGAAATAAAGCTCGTCCTTGACTTCGCGCCCGAGTCGTTGATGCAGAGGTCTTTAATCAGTTAACCATTGAATGTACAATCTCCAATCACGGCCACGAGAGTCGAAGGCTCCGCGTGGTTGCTCAATTGAAAGCAGACGCATACTCAATAAGTGTAGGAGCAATAGAATATACGTGACATCCGGTCTCGTACAACCTAAACCCTCTTGGGAACCGAGACATAGTACATTAGCAGAGCTCATATGATGAAGCCGAATGATAAGTAGTCGGAATGTAGAAAGGCGCAGCGTCATCCGTTCCTACTAGCCTCCCTCGCCCGCAACCCTGCAATACGAGTCGACCGCCGCAATTGGCCCAATCCAGGCACCGATTCGGACGAGGCAATGGGTACGACCGCCGCTTTCTGCTTTCCACGCGTGCGGGAGGCTATGGGTAGGTCGCTGATGGACATGGACGACATAGAGTTGATGAGGTCATTTGTAGAGTCCTTGTCTTCCGTTACGATGGGTGCTTTCCGCTGAATACCCATCTTCGTCGCCTTCGTCTTATGTCCGACGGCGTCTGGTGTAACGCGCCGACATTCCAAGGGTGCAGGAACGAGGGATCGCGAGGAGCGCAAGTAGTCTTCGCGCTCAGGCGGATCTGAGGCAGGTGTTTGTCCTGCAAGCCAAGAGTGCTCGAGGGCCTCCGTGAGGGCCATGCGTTTTCTTGGCTCATACTCTAGAAGGACGCGTATGAATTTCTGCCCTGCATACCCAAGCGAGTTGCTCTGTCAGCGTGGTACTTGCCACAATAGCCAAATTGGTAACATACCGACGTCGGTCACGTTATAGTCTGGCAACAAAAGCCAGCTGACCTGAGCATCACGTCTCGTCATCTTCTTTCTGAAATCCCCATTGAGGTATCTCTCGCTGAAGGGGAAACATGAAGTGAGCCTGAAAATCACATCAACACGTGGCTCCGATTAATCAATGCCGTCTGAATCCGCACATCTTGAAGACGACAACGCCGATGCTCCAGCTATCGACCTTTTCGTCGTAATGACCTCTTGAGCCGGGATCTATCACTTCCGGAGCAGCATACGCGCGGGTGCCACACGCCGTCTACGCAATATGTTAGCCTGAGAAGTAAGATCGAGCATCTACTTAGGAACGCACGCGTAGATTCCGTAGCGTGTCAATGTGCTTGGCCAGACCGAAGTCCGAGACCTTGATCTTCAAAGGAAATCGACTTGCAAGGAGCAGGTTCTCCGGTTTCAGGTCACGGTGAACGACACCAAGCTTGTGCATGTACTGCGAGATTCTGAATAGACGTTGCGTATGGTAAGCGGATTCATACGTACGGCGAGAGCATCACATATTTGGTACGTGATAGCCTTAGCTTGATGCTCAACTGTTGAGCAGGAATCAACAATACTGGATGACGAGATAGGACAAGACGATGCTCACACATCACGCCCACTTCGTCTAGATACGCAGCTAGGCTGCCGTTTTCTACGAGTTCGAGGACAAGATCTGTCAATGCTTTATAAGCTCATTGGTTCACGACATTGCATGGACATGAACCAACTCAGCCGCCCGCATTCCAGAAACACTTCCTTCAGCTGACAGATGTTCGGATGGTGCAACTGTTCGAGGATCTCCACTTCGCGTAAGACGATATTGGAGCGCGTCGTCCTGACGCCAACCTCCCCCTCTGCCAGGCCTCGCTGGAGACTGTGGACGGGAATCATCTTCATGGCATACCATTTCCCCTGCTGTTTATGCAGGACTTTGACTACCGTGGAGAAGGAGCCCTGTCCAACGACGTTGAACAATTCATAGTGTTTGTGAAGTCCGCGCAGAGGGTCCGCGAAATTGTCGACCTGTCGGTAAATGTAACCTATACGAGGCATCAGCACCGCTCGCAGTTTATTGGTTCTCATATCAAACTTACGAGGACCCCCAACCTTCGACCCGAACTGTATCTCGCTGCCGTCTCGTAAGACCGCGCATCTGTTGCCTCCTTCACAGACCGCTTTGCCATTGATCTATTTCCAGGTCTTAATAAAGATCCGAAGGGTGAGGGTACCCACACTCACAAAGATGCCTGTTGCAGAAAAGGACGTCACCATGACCGCATAATGCACATTGGCCTCGCATCCGTCCCATTCTATAACACAGTGCGTCTCGTCTTCGAAAATCAGTAACAGATATATGCATCAGTCCCATGTGAATCAGTCCCATATGAAATACTCTGGTATTCGATGTATTGGCTCACCTATGTCTGCATCTGGAATATAGACATCGCTTTGAGGAGAGCTCCCTATGATGTACTTTCGTTTCGCTTTGAAGAGCTCAACGCTAGGTATATGAGGATCAGCTACATTCCAAGGAATCAGGCAACCCCATAGCTGTGATACATCACCGATCCTTCTTTTCTTAATTCGGGGGTGGCTGGGAAGGGTATCGCTATCTCTCATGCCCATGGTATCAATATTGGTGGGGTGTCGCATGTGTAGGGTAGGCAGACTGCAGAGGATGCTCGCCGCGGGAGAGAAACGAACCGTGGGAAGATAGGGGTGAGAAGTCGTAATATTCGTATTACGGGACAGCTTCACTGTTGGACCCTGCAGCCGCTGCCGGTTCCCCCCAGGGAGCTTGACATGAGCTCCTGAAATAATTTATGTGACGGTCAGCGCCGAGCAAATGATGCATCGAGCGACTTAGAAGGCGAGCAACGTCACCAGCGCGACGTATGAAGCGGGCGCTTGGCTCAAAACCGGGCCCGGCAGCACCCACCCCATGAACTACGCGAGTCTTCCACGAAATGGAGAGACAGCACCGGACTAAGTCTCTGTGTGGTCAGCTACTAGACTCGAGTCCGAGAAAGTGACCGATCAGAGGCAAGGGCCCGTAGTGTTCAAGGTTTGAGCTGTCTCGCGTCCGCACAGCCACTGCGCCTCCGTTTTGTATACATGCACACAGGCTATTCGGAGACAAGGCCAGCCCTGCCATATAAGTTGCATTGGCGAGTTACGAAGTACACTCAATCGCTATACACAAAAAAAGGCGACGATTACCAACAGCTAAGGTAGCACATAGCAACAAACCGATAGCTGTCCGCATGTCCGAGCGCGAGCCTGAGCCGCGCCCACGAGGACACCAACATCAGGCGGATGAGCCGCTCCACATACCAAGTCCAGGAATCTCGTCAGGATTAATATCTTCGGCGGTCCAGACTAAGCGAGGAGGAGCGGAAGGGCGGTACGAATCAGGGACGATCGTTTCCTCGGAACCTCCGTCCTTTTCCGCTGCACGTGCTCTCTTCGCTCGGGGTTTCTCATCGTCGACAGATAAGGAAGACAGGGAACTGCCGAGTTCTACCAAGGACGCCTTGCGCTTCACCCCTGCACGAGATGGTCCTGCGTCCATTTGCATGAATCCCTCAAGGAGGGCTCGAGGACGCTTCTTGAGCTTCCGCGGTTCCGTCTGGGACGCCACCGAACGACGCGAGAGTTCGTGTTCTATCAGTCGGACGCGCTCTTTCGTAACCTGGGCGCATAGCCAGGCATGATCACGCGCCTGAGCAGGGGTCAAGCGTTCACGCGGATCGAGCACCAAGAGTCCGTGGAGGAAATCTTCCCCTAACATGCATATTCTCAGCCAGGGTTCTAGTACTTATACTGGAACTAACTAGTAGAATGACTTACCTTCCCAGGATATGTTGAATTCTTCTAGCAGTTTCCAATCGACTTCGGAGCTAGTTTCGTGGTGGAAGGGGTGGCATTTGGTCAACCTAGACAGCGGGACGTCAGAGAATGCGTCAGAAACACCCTAGGCAACATACATCACGAAGACCATTACTCCGAGACTCCAGCTATCAACGGCCTGATCGTAGCCATCAGGACCCTGATCTAAGACTTCTGGGGCAACGAAACCGGGCGTGCCACATTTAGTCTAAACACGACAAGATTGTGAGACCTTTCATTGGCGACAACGGCCGTATTTGACGTACCTGCATCATGGCCAGAGAATCCATAACTTTTGCCAGTCCGAAGTCGGCCACCTTCACGATCGGCGGCCGGTCTTCGGTCAGCAGCACGTTCTCTGGCTTCAAGTCGCGGTGCACAACACCCATGCTGTGAATGTACTGAAGCACAGTCAGCACTAGGAAGGCACGAATAGCTCTTGTACAATGTGCTTACGGACAAGGCGTCACATATTTGATACGTAATGCCCTGCGCCTCGGATTCAACTGTCGAAACCGTCGATATAAACACCAGGGTTTCATAAGGGGAAACTCACAGAGCACATCACGTCTGTTCACGTAGGCATTCAGATCTCCGCCGGAGACGTATTCTAAGACCATGCCTACAGGAGTTAAACGAGTTGAAGAAAGCAGCAGGAACGGCAGCGCGTGCACACAACGTACTGACGCTATACCCCGAGTCGATGAACGCCTCTTTCAGCTGGCAGATGTTTCTGTGCCGAAGACGCTGGAGTACGTTGATTTCCCGTTTCAAGTGCTTGGCCGTGGATTCCATCAAGTCGACACCGCGCGACTTCTGATTGAGGAATTGCTGAAGCTTCTCTCCCGGGAAGGACTTTATGGCATACCACTTGCCCTCGACTCTATGGAGCGCTTTCACCACTGTCGCGAAAGCCCCTTGGCCTAGCCCGTGGTGAAGGTCGTAGAAACGATAAATGCCTTCCGTCGGGCTTTGCTTGGCAGCCATGTGTCGGAACACGAATCCTGGAAGCCCAGCCATCAGGTGCGTAGAACAAATGCAGCCGGCTAGTGCTCACGATAGTCCTCTTTCGCGTCTGCGGGATCCTTCGGAGGCCCGAAACCGATGATATTCCAATCGTACATTAACTTGCACTGGCCCTTCCCAAGGCGCTGGCCATTGATCTAGCTCTCAAAGGATCAGTGCCCCTACGAATGCTTGACAGTATATTGTGACTCACGAATGTACCGTTCGATGACTTGAGGTCTGTCACTATGACAGCGGAGGAGCTCGTCTCTTCGCCGTCCCACTCGATCATGCAGTGCTTATGACCTGATAGTACGCAGCAGCGGTGTGAGCTTCAGTACCAGCGGACTCCAGCCATCGCAAAGAAAAGAACTCCGCTCACTCATTTTCATACACTTCGGGAACGAGATATCTACATCCTCCTGACGGCTGCGGCCGATGATATACTTCTGCTGCAGTTTGATGAGGTCTATACGTTTAAGGTGTGTATTGCTCGGATTGAAGGGAATCAGAGAACCCCATATCTCCACGCTAACAAGGCTCTTGTCCTGAGAGGCTTCCTGCGTTGGTTGCGTCGACTGCTGGGTTGATTGGGTAGGAACCTCCGCTACGGCCATCGCGTCATCGAGCCACCGGTGTGTATGCGAGGCAAAGTAAGATTGGAGGCGACGGAATGATGATTCTAAATTTGCACGGAGACGCTCAGAGGGGTGACTTCAGGCAAAGGAACGAGCCCTGCGCGATTTATGGATCACTTGACGATCCGTGGCGGGTGCTAGGCTTTACAACATTCACCGCCGCAGGGGAGTGCTAGTTTGAGAGAAGAGCGTAGTCGCCCACCCAATGAGTGGGAGTCTCCAGAGGACCAATAAACTCGGGGAATGACGGACTACCAAGTTGTCGACTCGACGTGTCGATATTCGCTCCGCCACCGGCTACTGGCGCGGAGTTTGTCGGACTCCTAAGGTGTTCGCACGCATCGCCTCCTTGGTCTGCTCAAAGCAGCATTCTGATGCCCGAGCGTTCAAGCCAGCCTGTAGCTCTCTGACCATTGGATTCGGACGTGCATCTTAGAACCCATACTACGCCGCGTCCAAGCAGGCTCGTTCCCGCGGATACTCCGACGATCCACGGCGAGTAAGAACATACTACACAGCCGCACGTATTCGATCACAACGCTGGCGGGATCGATCGATCGATCGACATACCCAAAACAAACCTGAGCTTCAAGCTTGCACTTCCTTCTTGACTCGAATTTCTTACCACGGGCTCGTTCTCGTGATCCTGATCATACTGTATGGTAAGGATATCCCCTAGAACATCCCCTGCACCTCTGAGCACAAGGGCGGGGTCTTATGTGAGTGCATATCACTTCTTCTCCGTTACAAATTGCATACGTACCATCCGAGCTGACATGTTAGTTGCTGGTCCAGCGTAGGATGAGTGCCATGGTAAGTCCAATTTCGGCTTACTCGTTGAATCGGTTACTTGCCAACGATGCTGGACGGTCTCGAATTCGGGATAACACTGGGAGATGATCTCTCGTCTCATGGAGCGTGGCTAGGGCGCAGAGACGGGGCCCGATACTACACAGGCCGGCCATGCAGCGATGGAGAAGAACGTTCAAGGGATCTTGAGGCAGAAGCCTTGATTAGTGAGGTGGCGGTTCTTTGCGGATTCGGATGAGGACGTGCCATCCTTACACCGCGGGCTTCCAATCCGATGAGATGAACAGACAACCACATCAACTCATCGCGGCGCTGGGCTCGGATGAACAGGAACCACACGGGTACAAGGCCAGGGTAGGCAAGTGACATCGGCTTGTCTCATCTCACGAAAGATGGTTCGTCACCCAGGAACACCTATTCAATTGACCAAAAATGCTGTTGATACAATAATCCTACACGACTGCTCCCATTTTACAGACTGAAACCCCTGTTTTGTCGCCCTTATGAGATGGTAACCCTCTTGGGCAGCTGCTCAGCGGTTTGACGCGGGTAAGTGACAGTCAAAACACCGTTCTCCAGCGACGCTTTGATCTCTTCGGGCTAAATCCGGATGTTAGTTCGATGGCCACAGATCCTCGTCACGAAGCTACCTACCTGGATGCCCTCAGGTACAGGGACAGAGCGAGAGAAGCGACCGAAGCGCCGCTCACGAAGGACATAGCCGTTATCATCGCTGTTGGACTCGAACTTGGACTCGCCGGAGACGGTCAAGACGTTATTCTGCACGTCGATGTTGACGTTCTCCTTGGTTAAGCCCGGAAGCTCGAAAGTTGCGGTTACGAGGTTCTTCTCTTTGTCCTCATGGACGTCAACTCTAGAGAAACGCATCAATGACTAGGGCCTTTACGCCTAGCCGAACATCCGGAGTCGCTTACCTTGGTCGGAGAACGCGCGGCGCGCTGTTGCCATTGTCCTGGCGTTGGACGGCATTGCCGCCGGTCCGACGGGCGAAGGCCTCGTCAAAGAGACGATCAAACTCAGAGAAGAATGGGTCGTTGTTGAAGAAGTTGACAAGGGACATGGCGTTGAAGGTGAGTTGAGTGCGGGAAGAGCTTAGGCTAGTGTCGTGCAATGTGCAGTAGTCGATATTCAGTGAGGTGCGTGTCTCAGCTCAGCCTCCTATTATATGCATCCTGAATTCCGCATTGGCGCCATAAAGACATTTCTAGAGCTGGGACGAAAAAGTCTGGAAACGCAAGCTTGCGACATGCTTGCGAGAACAATCGAGAACAAGCGCTTGTCTAGACGTTGAGTGACGAGTGTGGAAGGAGGACCAAACAAGCATCAATTCTACTCTTCGGCCTATCTGGCGCTCATAACCCCCGCGGGCGTTCAACGTTCAGCAACGTGCTCACCTTCCATCCAGAACCTCCCCCAACTTCTTTCGGCGTCCATGAGGCTCCGTTGAAAGGCAGTGGCATATCGATGGTAGAGTTGTCTTGAACGCAATATTTCACGGTTCTATTGCGTGGAGCGCTCCACACTCACCCTGTCCAGGCGCTCGCCTCCCACCGACAGGCAAGGTCAGCCCTGCACGGAAACCTGTCAGGTAGAGTGGAAGTAGGTGTGTCTCCAGGCCCCCTACAGGATCCGTGCGAGCGAGCGAGGGGCATGCTGATTTCAGGGTGAGCGCGTATAACCTGTTCGGGTGAGTCAAGGTATCTGTTACAAAATCTACATTGGGAGCGTTGACAAATGACATTGCTCCACCAATCATTATTGGTTTCAGAACAACTCTAGTCGGACTATTTACTACTGCGAATACCATCATTGCATTCATGTGCATTCCCGGGTCTTCTAAGTTCAAGGGTGCGCATCATGTGTCTCGGCTGCAGGACTGGAACGGTCGCCAAGCAGCTTGTTCGGCTAATGACTCCATGAGCGACACAATTCCGCATGTCACAGCCATACCAGACTGTCTACACTGTGCTAGCGGATTGCTTTGACAAATATATCCTATCTTTAGAACTTACAGCGTCCCAAGCACTCAAGCCCTGTCTCGGGAGGATAGATACCATGGTCTACCCCAGCGGAACCCCGACGGACATTGACATCCGTATCGCTCCTCTAACACTTTTCATTGCCTCTAATTCTTTTGCGCTATCTCAAGAACCCAATCCACATGGCTCTCACCTTCTTCACCGAGCCCTTCTACTCCCTCTCTGACTTTGACCGGCTCTTTGACCCGGCATTCAATGCGCGTGCGCGCACTTCGCTCGCGCCTTGCGATCAGACCGAGAACGTTACCGCTAGGTCGCTTAGGCCGAGGTGAGTCTCGATGTATCCCCCCTCGTCATGTGCCCGCTGACGACACCTGCTATATAGGCTACATCTGCACGAAGATAAGGACAAGAACCTCATAACGGCGACCTGCGAATTGCCAGGTCTCACTAAGGACAATGTCCTTACCGTGTCTGGAGAGTCAAATATCTCCAACGACCGCAACGAGAAGGATTGTGCCATCCGCGAGCGACGGGACGGCAAATTCTCGAGGTCGATGTTTGTCCCTCAAGGCATTAAGGTCAGTCTATACTGCTCCTCTGTGTCCAATGACACTACGCTGACGTAGAGCATACAGCTCGAGGACATCAAGACGTCCATGGAGAATAGCGTCCTGACCGTGACATTCCCACTTACAACACCTGAGCAGGCACCTAGGAAGACCACGATAGCATGAGACGCGTCAGGATTGGGGCCGTTCAATGTGTGAATTGGACCCAGACGGTATTGTGTTATAGCATGTTAGCATAATACTATTGGCACCATCGTTCGCTTAAAATCTGGCCTCAGTCCGATATGGAGGGGTTACGGTACCAGGTGAGTCAGGTTTTAAGACGTCCTGGCATCCGAAATCATCAAGGTATCCTTGGTCTTTGAGTATGATGCAGCAGTCCACAGGCTTCATGCAGGCCTCAACTCCTGATTGGTACGAGTAGGCCGCATGCCTCCCCTGACACTTCTCCTTTTTGCCTTAAAGGCTGCGCATGGTCTCTACAGGACAAGCACGCCTGCGTCGCCTCCTTGTCGTCGACATAGGTACGAATGACAAGGATGTCGCAATCATCCTAACAGCATAAGATACGATACTAGTGAGCAATCTGCCTGACCAGGGAAACTTTCCCAGTCCCACACGGCCACTCCTGTCCCGGGAAGATTGACTCTATCCGGCATCACCGACGTAGCCCAGTACGCATTCTGCGATCGACATCATCGTAGGAGAACCGAGATGCGCGCGCCCAACCTCAATTGGGCGCATGCACTAATATGGCACAACGAGTTCAATGGAACCACAACGAGTTCAATGGAACTAGAAATCTTTCAAAGAGTGCCCTGCGCTACAGTATTCGTGCCACAAGACCTACAACCTGACAGATACAGTGCTTGCCAATAGGGTATGAGAAGCTGTGGGCGGCCTGGCGGCTGTAAGGCTCTGGGAAACGGTGGCACATTCTCGACGAATCTCGAACACAGAGTAGCTGTCTTGGAGGTAGCAGGCTTACAATGATATCGTAGGGCATATTGACAACAGGGGGATCTTGTGAGTCAGTTGCCAGCGGTCGGAGTCCGAGAAGTCAGTATCATACCATGACTCTGGGTGGAAGCACAAGCGCTTGTTCCCAGCTATCGGACTCTGCCGAGCGCCCGCCGCTTGAACGCGCCTTGCAAGTTGTCTTCATCGACGACCACGATCGCGATGGCCAAGTCGACGGGGTGGGATCCCGTACTCATCATCTCGCAGGTGCGCTCTGCAGCTATCCTGCAATGATGTGAAGATTCATCCTCATATGCTAGATCATAGCTCTCCAGACATTGCACTACGTGACCCTCTCATTCCTCATCCCTCCATTGCTCATCATGCTCGCTGAGCCTGGATCATTGGAGTACGAAGGCGGGGCGGCAAATGTTGGTATGCCTTTTTCCACGTATCGTTGCCCCCTGATCTCAAGTTTATCCAGGGATGATCATGGATTGGCGAGAGATGGCCGGACGACCAACGACGCGCGTGTCGCCAGGCGATGGGCCTTGGAAGTCTTTCAACTCAGTATGGAGTGGAGGGAGACAAGTTGGAACGGGATCGGCTCAGCAGAGTCACTTCAGAGGCGTGGATCCAGTACGATGCTGGATCATCGCCGTGTGTTGGATGGCAGCTTCGGCGGCAGAGTACGTCTTTCTTCCATGGATCATCGCAAGATTTATCATCCTTACGTGCACATGATAGCATATACTATCTATATGCTCTCATCCGACGACCGCGATTGATCCTCGACTTCTCACTCACTCTCCTGTTCTTTCATCTGGTGCTCACGACGTACTACTCTGCGTCGATCCCAACGTCCATTTTCTTCTGGGCCGTCATGTGCATCAGTACCGCAGGCACTGTCGTTGTAGCAGAGCAATTATGTGTCAAGAGAGAAATGAACGAAGGTCTTGTGGTTACTGCGGCCCAGGATGTGGAGGATAGCGTGGAGATGGGTAGTCTTCTCCGGGAAGACTGATGTGTTCATCCGCTTCCTCTTTTTCCACGGTACGTTTTCCACAGATCGAGTGACTTGAGCGCTGACCGAGAGTTCTCTGCCCAGCTCATGATGTATATTGCCTCTAATTATCTGGATACGCCTAGACCATTTTAGGATCAGCGAACTAAAACCTTATCAACCTTTTGTTTGATAGGAGGCAGCGGCTGGGACTGGAGTGCAAAAGCGGGTGCTTCTCGCAAACTCCGGTCTCAGTACACGGTGAGTGATGCATTCTCCTGTTCTTCGCCAGACTCGTCTTGCGCCGCGCATCGGATATGAGGGCTCTTCTTACAATATATGCATAGTTCTGGGAAGAGTGTACATGGTCCGGGCCTATCAGTCAATCTGGGAACGTATGGTATGTGTGTTCTGTGTGACTGTGTCCCGCCGATTAGCGCCTGATAGATTGTCCTTTGTCCTGCGGTCGGAATCACTTGGCGTTCGTCGTCGCGGAATGTCAGTGGTTATGATGAACCTTATCGGCTATGTGGAAGCGGTGTGGTTGTGGATTGATCCTCACTATGATTCTCATCTCTATCCAAAGGGCGCCTAATGGTCTTTTCCAGACAGGGTGGTCTTTTCGATCTCATCATTGTGGTTCTACGGCATGTCCTGTGGTCTTACTATCTCCACCATCACAGTGTTCGCCACCCAATCGTTTCCCAGATGCCATTCTTCTCGACTATCACTGTGAAGCATTTCAGGCCATCGCGCTCGAGCAACGTGGTCCACGTTGAGATTGTAGCGATATGTTCGGCCTCACCGCATTGCGTCCGCGCCAGGATCGATCTGGACCTGTACATAGATTCTGGTTCCTGGTACGTTCTCCATTGGTCATCTTCGAGTCTGTTGCCTCCACCTTCCATCTACCACTTTCCAGCTTCTTTGACGCAATCGGATTTTTTCGTAGACGACCCTCGTTCCTTACTACATGCTTTTCGAGATCCGATCCTTCAGGAGAAGCTATGCTGGGATTCTGCGGCTTTGATCTATGGCATGAGCGTCGTCGTTCTGCTCCTTCTCTCACCTCAGCTCTGGCTCTTGCGCGCCTTATACAGCTCTTCTCTATTCATTTCCCAAGGACAGGCGGTGTTCGAACTCAAGTGCGCCATTGAGACATCTAACCGGCCGCCGCGCAAGGGGGAATCCCCTGCGCCGAGTCTAATTGTTCGTCTTTCCAGGAAGCTTCGCCGTCGTGCGAACGTGCACGCGTCGCTCTTTCGCCTCAGAACTGCTATGCCATTCCCCGATAGGGATAGCTCAAAGGCTATAAGATGATGACGATGACGCCGTCGAGGCCCGCCCAACCCCAGTATACGTATCGACTTACATGGGCGTATCTGGTGTCTGATCATTTCCTTGTAGGGCAGGAGCACCGAACGATTGCGTGCACGACGCTGACGGTCTTCCAGATATCGTATGGCAAGTCTCGAAGTAGAGTCCTGCCTTTCATGGACGACGGATTCAGAAATCCATTGAAGTCTTGCAAGACTGGAGCTTCTACATCCAGACCGCCCGCGTCATCACACGCACCCTCGAACCCTAGAGTCTGTACGTGACGTATAGCGAATCAAGAGCACGGGTCCAATTTCGCGTGTGGACACTCAGAATCGCCGGGTTTGACGGTTTGTGCCGCAGCCGCAATGCCGACGCTCACTCACGTTTACTGGGGCAGCGGCCTACAGGTGCCATCAGGCGTGTGTATGCTTGTATGGTTCCCGCACACCGCTATGACATAACCCGCCCGAACCCTACGCCCATCCCGTGCACCGCGGATGGCAATCAGGGACCTGGTACGCTGGCAAGCCTACCACTTGCCATGTTCCCTGGTCAGACGGACACGAGGACTCGCATGCGGATCACGAACCGTCGAGTATGGCAGAACCGGACGGGGTGTCTGGGAGTAAGAGGTGCGTCGCCGGCAGTCGTCGTCGCTGAATGCCTGGGATTCCTGCACCCCTTTACGTATTACGGATCGGACGCGCCTCACTCCTTCGTAGCCCGATTACCCGAGTTGGTGGTACACGTCCCGCCATCACGTACGCTTACTCACGGGCCCCAAGCTCTCCCCATTGCATCGCGCCGCGCTATTTTTCGATCGTTCTCTCGGCTGCCCTCACGCGTGGCCCTCTACTTCAGACCCCGTTGAGAAAGCGGCTCTGATGTGATATTTGATTCCCGGAGGCGCGTGGGGACGAGGCGACGTACGATGTACGACATTGTCGTCCGACAATCGACAGGCACGGAACGTACGAGTGCAGGCTCGCGGCCCCGTGGATAAGCTCAACGTTCAGATGCGAGCACGGTTCATTGAAAGAGGACGCACGCTAGGCCATGCCCGGGACGAGGGAGACCGCGCCTCGAAGTAGCCCCGAGAGAAGTTCTTCTGTGGCGGGAGCTGCGACAGGAGTTGCTCATCTCCATTCCTCGTTGCTTGTCTCCCGGGACGCACACAGATGTCCGCAGCAGGGCAAAGACGGCGATGGACCTGCTAGCCTGCAGTCACGTACCCGAGTCATTATACTCAGCTCGTCACATGCACCTCGCAGCCGGGAGGTGCGAGAGCAATTGATCAAACGTACGCCCTCGCAGGCCGCAGCCGACCGCCACAGCGCCTCGCAGCGCTCGGGATGTTCGAGGTTCGTATCGCGCTCGTTCGCCACTTGGGTGCCACTCGTCTGTGGCGCGGACCGAACGTGCCGACTATTGGTTCGAACATCAAACTCCGAGTGCGCTCGCACTGCGTTGCCCTCAGGGGTAATGGAATACGGATGGATGCAGGGATGCAAGATTGCGCACACTGTAGGGACCGATGCGGCGCCCGTGCGGCTTCAAGAGTCCGTGCACTTCTTGGACGGGGTGGAGGGAAGGACTTCTCGGATGGCGACTGACCATCGTGACGTCTTGGCCGCCGAGATGCTGCTCAGGTGGCTAGGAGCATGAGAAAAAGCAAGGCACTGGTAGGCGTACATGGGCTGTCGGACGGTCAGGAGCTCGAGAGGTGCGGACGAAGGAAAGATGACTATTATGGCCGGGGCACGAGGTGAAGGCAGGGACGTGCATCGCCTGAAAGCGAGGCAGGATCGGAAGTCGTGCAACGATCGTGGACCGCATCGCTATGAGTCAATGAGTGGGTGGCGGTTCTGTGGCAAGCTGTTGGACGATGGAGAGCCTGCTCATCCCTACGTTATTTGGATGGCATCCTGGTATGTGTCTCAGATCAGGCTGGGTTGCATGCGCGAGATTACGCGGGGGCGTGGGACGGCTGCTCGATCGCTGCGCCTTGCCTGCTTTGGAAGGACGCTCATCATTCAGCGCTTTCGGCGCTCAGCCAACTCCGCCTGCTCAGGGTCGAGCAATTGCAAGCTATTCCCCCATTTCGGTCAGACAAGTGCTCAATCTCCAGATTCTCGCCGGCAAACTGCCTGAAGGGACTCGGGGAAGGCAGTTATTCTTCCGAAATGGCGGTGATATTTGCGACTAAGTATTGGGCCCGGATCCCTTGACAAGCACTGTACATGCCCTTAGCGCGGACGGGTAGTGTTCATTGGCTTCTCTCGCATCCGACCCGCACGAGCCGACGCGGGCTATAAATCCATCCCTGTCCGCTCCCCACGCGCCTTTGCCTTTCTTCCCCTCTCCTTCCCATCCTCCACAATGCAAGCCATTAAGAGCTTGTTATCTCCTCTCACCGGGAACAGTAATCCTATCCAGGACACTCTGGTCTGTCGCCATCGTCCTATACCCTCTCCTGTACCTTGCTGAACTCGATCTTTCGCTATGTGCAGAAACTGGTCGTTATTGGGGGCACGGTAGAAACAGCGCGACGGGCGTCCGTTTCGGCCTGGAATGGCTTCATTGACTGTGAGTTGCCTCGCCCGAACTTCGTCAGTCTCATGGGGCACATACCTGACCGTGTCATCCTTGTCGCCAATAGCCTTCTTCCTCACCGCCCATTTCAGTCAAGAAGACTATCCCTATGATTGGTAAGTCGTTATCTGCCTTCATTCCTGTTTTGTCGCCGCTGCTCCATGTGTCAAGTCCCCGTCCTTCTCATTACATTCCATCCGTACATTGGCAACCTGGTATGCGAGCAGCTTTGTCAGGGACCGTGTGCTGACTGGCTTCACATCTGACAGGTTGATGCACTGGCTGTCTAAGGCGCGTTCATCACTTTTGTGGGGATGATACTGCGGGACTGAGACGGACATGGTAACTTAGCAACCCGCATGGGGTCGGAGCCGGGAGTTTGACATTACCACGCGCTCTATAAGCCGGCACGGGCTAACGCAGAAGACGTCAGGAGATCTAGAGGACGAGAACGAAGCCGACGAGGATGCGGAGGAGTTCGCGCAGGGTGGCGGCCGCAAACGTAAAGGTAAGCGCCCACACAGTGCAGCCGAGAGCGGCGACCGCCGGCGCGGACCTGGGGACGAAATGCTGATGATTGCGCTTCGACTTCGCGAACGCCACCCTTCTTGTCGCCGGTGACCAGTTGCGATTGTGCCCAGTATGGGTAAGCCGTCATATCTTGTTTGCGTTTACGTGACATCATCCTCATTATGACCTCCCCGCGTCTCCGTCCCAGATACGACGCATACCATCTACTACCGTGGCCACTGGCTCCGCGTGAGTTATCTAATCCCGGGCTTCACTGTGATGCACGCAGCGATCGGAGGCACACGTTCTGATCAACTATCAAATTAACTAGATAACCCGCACGAAGCGCTTCCAGGACTACGGCTCCTGTGCTGAGCTCAAAATAAGGTAGGTTTTGGGACCTCATCTTCAGCGCTTCCATCTACCTCATCACGGCACACTAATACACCCTGTCATGTAGCGTTGTGGCGCGTAACAACGACATTCTCAAGCGACTTGTGCTCGAAGCCAAGCGTGAGTACGAAAAGGATGCGGAGCACCGCGTGCACATCTTCATGGCAGACACGTACGTATGGTCGCACTCGTCAATCGCCCCGGGCCGTCCTGACGTGACCACTCTCCCCACTTGGAACTCCCACACAACTTGCACATGTCGCACACTCCCATAGAACGTATGGTTGTTGGCGGTGGAATGGTGCGCGCCAGAAGCGTCCCATGAGCTCTATCGTGCTTGAGCCGGGTGTCAAGGATATGATCCTTGCGGACTGCAAGGACTTCCTCGCTTCCGAGGACTGGTGAGCTGCGCCTGCGGTTGTGTGACGACTGTCCTGCTGACATCTGTTCTGCTGGCTCCCAGGTATGCCGAGAGAGGTTTGTCAACGTTAACTAGACTGACCTGCGAGTGTCGCACTTGCTGACGTTTTGGACAGGCATTCCATTCCGCCGCGGCTATCTGTTGCACGGAGTCCCCGGAAGGTTGGCAGCGCCCTTGCTCCGTGTGGTTTACGTTCGCTCAATCGCCCTTCCAGCGGAAAGACGTCGCTCATTCACAGCCTTGCCGGAGAACTCGGGCTCGACATCTATGTGGTCAGCCTATCATCCAAGGGGTAAGCGAGCATCATTCTGTCAGAAATGGCCAAGAAGTGCTGACCCTGAGTACTTGCATGTCATATCCGGCAGGATGAGTGATAACACGCTTACTACGCTGATGGGCAACGTGCCATCGAGGTCGGTGTTTCGAATTGGTACCTCAAATGTGGCCAGTCGCCGCTTCGGGAATTGGCTTCCTGTAGCGCGCATGGAGCCGGCTGTGCACGTACTGACATGATGTCTCAACAGATGTATCCTCCTTCTGGAAGACCTGGACGCGGCGTTCACTCGCGGTATTTCCCGGGACGAGTCCTCCACAGGTGTCCCGACGTCCTCCTCTAGCAGCTCTTCGTCATCGAAGAACAAGGATGAGAATAACGACGGCTCGACGCTCTCCCTGAGCGGTCTGTTGAACAGCCTCGACGGTGTCGCCGCCGCCGAGGGCCGGTAAGTCGGTCTTTAGTCCAGCATGACGCGTCTTCCTCTCTCCTGCGCTCGACATTCCCTTCGATCTCCACCCAATTCCCGCGCGCAGGGCCCCGCCACGCCCTTGTGATCAGACTCGTGCTGACATGGTCTCCGTGTTCCGCAGTCTTCTATTCGCGACGACCAACCACATCGAGCGGCTTGACCCTGCGCTCAGCCGCCCAGGGCGGATGGACGTCTGGGTAAACTTCAAGCATGCGACCAAGTGGCAGGCGGAAGGGATCTTCAAGTGCTTCTTCCCTGCCAAGTCGACCAGCGCCAACCCAACTGCGCCGGCGAGTGGGAGCGTGTCCGAGGAGGGTGGCAAGACCAAGCACCCAGGAGACGCGACGTCGTCGGCGAACCTTGCCGAGTCAAAGCGCAAACGCGCGGCGCATTCGATTCCTCTCCTGACTGAGGAGGAAATCTCGGAGCTCGCAGGGCGTTTCGCGGATGCTATTCCCGAGGGAGAGCTTAGCGTGAGTCAAGAGCTTGTTCGGCAATTCACTTGACGTGAAAACGTTGTTTACTGGTTACGTTTCTATCGGGGCATTTTCGCATCAGGTCGCCGCTCTCCAGGGCTATCTGCTTCGCAACAAGACCCGGCCTCGCGAGTGTGTGGACGAAGTCGCAGCATGGTGCGTTCCGGCGTCTTACTTATTGGTTTAATCGCCGGCGTAGCGCACCAGACTGATCTTCACGTGGACAGGGTCATTTCCGAGCGGGAAATGCGCGAGAAGCTTAAGAAAGAGAAGGAGGAGGTAATATCATAACCTTCGCTTGCGCGGTGGCGCGCCTTTCGCTGACGTCATCCGCTTCTGTCCCGCAGCGTGAGGCTAAGGAGAAGAAGGAAGCTGAGGAGAAGGCGCGGAAGGAGGTGCGTCTTTTACGTCCTTGTTACATATCTCGGCGACTCTCCATTTGGCATTTGTATTCTCTGGTTTTGGTTTCCTGACACATACTGACGCTGACTATTGCGCTTTTATCCAGAAGGAAGAGACCGAAACGGAAGAGGTATTGTGACACGCCAGGCAATCTCGTCTATGATACCCTCACTAACTTCACCTGATTGTCCTTTCTGTATAGAAGGATAAGGCTGCGAAAGAGGTATGGAAGTTACGAAGCCATGCCGTGCTTTAAGCTTCACGCAAGGTGACTGATGCATCACACACGTTGCATAGAAGGCAGAGAAAGAGCTGTTGGTCAAGGAGCAACAACAGAAGAAGGAGACGCGCGTCAAGACGAAACGCCGCGAGGCTAAAGTGGCCGCGCCGACGGATAGTGACAGCGCAGCGTCCTCCCCCGCGGACCCTAGCTCAGAGTCGTCTACGTCTACGTCCGAGTTGGAGAACACGAGCGGCGCCGATGCCGACACAGAAGAGAGCATCACTTCCGAAGAGGAGTCCGAGAAGACCACTAAGACGTCTGAGAAGTGGGTCGCCGTCAAGACAGAGCAGCCTCAAGCTCAGGTTGACTCCGATGCCCAGACAGCGAGTGAGCCTGAAACCGAGTTGCCGTCGGCGACTGAGAGCTCAATTGTGAGCGCGTGACGTGCAGCTGGCGGTACTCGATACTCTGTCTTCGGTGTGCTATGCTATGACCTCGCTGGTCGAACGTCTGGGTTACTTGTCATGCTCTTTGATGTACAGTCATTTCCCCGTCCAGAAACCCGTTCTGGCTCGATTGCAGACCAAACGGGTCTCGCATGTCATGTAGATGCTCTACGAAAGCGATGCCTCTTTGTACGTACCTTCCGATGATATCCTCCTTGACGTTTGTTGTGTAATGATGTTCCTAGACCTAGACTGCCGCGTGCTGTTCATTCGTACATTCGCCGCGCTTATACACGTTAGTCGGTGATACTCCCCGTGTCTATCGAATGACTCACTACTGTAATATATGTAATGATCAATTTGCTTTGATCAGGACTCATCGCTAGCTTCAAGGTTGTCGCGTCTTCGCAAGGAATCAACTCTAGCCACTCCGTTACCAATTCCATTTCGGAAGGTACTTCGGACTGCGGTGTCGGGGCCTATATGCGTAGTCCGCGGCCGTCCTCGTCTCGTGTTTCAGCATATACTTGCAATCTGCCAGCATCAGGGCCGCCGTCAATGTAAACTTTTCATTGGACTTGCCGACGTCACGCGGCAGCTCTATCACGTTTGAGCTGTGTGGTCGACAGAATTCCCTGAGGTGTTCGGCAGGAGAATGACTTGGAAATAAGTGATCATGTGGACGGGAGTACTGTCGCCGCATGTTGTAACAGGAGCGAGCAAGAACTTATGATCGAGACTATTTGGAGATTCATGTACACGCATCTGACGTGCTGAGTTGCTGCTCGGATCAACCAAGATCGAAAGCCCGGCTGCCTGCACGGCGGGCTGCATTCGCATTATGTATGAGGACATCGTGTGAAGCGGAGGTACGATACGATACGGATACGATGTGCACAGACACGAGAACCAGAAGATGATGGAGAAAGTGAGTGGTACGACAAAGCATGTTCTAAACTATATATCGAGAGCGTGTGTGACATATATTCGTCATCCTTACGAGCGTGCCATGAGCGGTGAGCGTGATGCGGCCTTCTTCTCCTACCCCGTCCTCTAACACCCACCCACCCCTCCTCAACGAACCTGTGCGGATTACGTCGACTTGAGCGTGACCTCTGAAAGCGTCTTGAACGCGTCCCGGTACGCGTCGAGAAGGGCCTTGACCCTCGTGCGCTCCGCGACTAGCGTCTCGTCCTCGTTCAGGAGGTCCCCAAACAGCTCTGGCTTGTAGAGCGAGGCGACAAGGCGGTTCTGGACCTGCTGCGAAGTGTTGTTCACGAGGAGGTGCATGATCGCCTTGGGGACAAGGTCTTGTATCGTCTGCCGGACGATGCCAAAGTAGGACTGGATGAGCGAGCGAATGAGGTTCGTCTCCATCTCTTCGCGCATCGTGAGCTGTGAGCTCCCGTCGGACGCCTGGAGGTGAGATGTCAGCGAACGTTCCGTGGGTCGGCGGAAGAAACGCAAAGTCGGATTATGACGAAGGGCGGTACGGATCGCCGTCCTGCTTCAACTCGCTCGGACGTGCGGCGTAGCCCAGAGAAAAGTTGAACAAAGATACGCCGCTTTGCTAAACCAATCAGCAAGAGCGCCGACGGTCGCGAGGCGCAACAGCAGGAGCGCTGACCACATCCACGCCAAGTTCCGACGTGATCAGAGCAAACCACAAACCACGAACCACATTCGCCAAACCACCCATGGACAGCCTTGCCCCTCCACCGTCACCCCCTTCCCTTCTCGACCGCCCCCGAGTGAAAGAAACACTCACCGCCTCGATATGCTTCCCCAAGCTCTTCATATCGAACGCCGCGTTCCCCCTGTCCATCCCCCGCCTGCCCGCCATCAGCCCCGTCTCGAGCGCCGGGTCCGCCCCCGACACGTCCCGCCCCGTCACGCCCCCGGTGATGCCCCCGGTGGCGCCCACGGTCGACGTGCGCTCGGCCGACGGGCCGGAGAGCGGCCCGGGGCCGTTCTGCCCGAAGAAGTAGTTCAGGAACGTCTCCTTCGCCGTGCCCGAGTGCGGGGACGACCCCGGGGCGCCCGCGGACGCCCCGGAGACGTTCCGCGAGGACGGCGCGTCCCGCTGCTGGTGGTGCTGGTGGTGGTGTTGGTGCTGATGGTGCGGCGGTTTTGAGGGCAGGCGCGAGGGGGTCGTCGTCGTCGGGGGCGCGGACGCCGCGCCTGCGCGGGAGCGGTCGGTGAGGGCGGAGGGGGCGGAGCGGTTCGGGGGGATGCCGTTGGCGGGCCCTGCGGACTCGTCTTGCGAGTAGTCGTCGTCGTCGGTGGGGGAGCCGACGCCGTTGATGGAGTCGACGGAGGAGGGCTGGGTGCGGGGACGGGCGGGGTTGTGCCATTCGATAGATTTGTGCTGCAGTGCTCAGCGCGCGCCGGCGAGAAGGGGCGAGGGGGACTTACTCGGGGGAGGACCTGTCTGGGCTGCGGGGAGGTCATGGAGTGCGCGGCGGCGGCGGAGCCTTGGATGAACGCGGGGTGGTTGGTGTTGATGTATGCGGTCTGGATGTCGATGAGGCTTTGCGTGTACTCGGTCGTGGGGCCGAGCCGCTCGCGGAGAAGCTCGGAGACGGTTTCGACGAGTTGCGCATGCAGCCTTGGGAATCGTTGCAGCTCCTACGGTCGTTAAGTAAGGACCACACTGCTGCTCTGCCAGGGACTCAAGCGCAAACAGCATGTGTACTCACCGCACTCGTGCAGTTATGACAGATCTTCACCAGCTCCTCATAGACCAGCTCCACGCACCTCAAGCTCGGTGCCTCCAGCAGCTTGATCTGCGGCTTCACCAGCAAGTCGAACGCGATCTCGGGCACGAACAGGCTCGGCCTCGGGCCCGTGGAGTTGCGGATCGCCGTGCGGATGTCCTGGTTGTCGAGGTTGTGCGTGGCGTCGATCGAGGAGAGCGCGGTGCCGAAGACGTCGTTGAAGATGTAGTAGATGCGCGCGCCGCCCGAGAGCTCCTTCGTGGAGATGTCCACGGCAGTGCCGTCGATCGAGGCGACGAAGTCGCGCGCGAACTGCGTCATGAGCCGCAGGACGAGCGCGCCTTGCTGCGGTGTGCGTGCACGCGCGTGAGGGGGAGCAGAGAAGAAGGAAGGGAGACAGCGGGCGGGCGCACCTGGTTCTTGTCCCCGTAGATCGCAGCGTCCCCGAACGAGTTCAGCTCCTGCTGCGCCTGGCCCATGAGCGTGTTGAGCCGCGCCTTCATGTCCGGCAGCTTGTCGCGGATGTGGCCCATGAGCACCTGGTTGAGCGTCTTCGCGAGGTACTTCGTGCCGTTCTTATGCGCGATGTTGCGGTACGCGGGGTGCGTGCGGAAGAACTCGGCCTCGCTGTCGAGCGCGTCCGAGAGCGGCTTGTCGACGTTGATGTCGGCCTGGGAGCGGTTAACGACGCCAATGAAGCCGAGCTTGAGCGGGTAGACGCGGCCGGTGAGGATGTCGAGCGCGTTCGTGCCGGCGTCCATGAGGTCGAGCTTGGTGAGGACGCCGATGGTGCGCCGGCCTTGGGGGTCGACGGAGCGGGCGAGCTTGAGGGCTTCCGAGTTGGCGAGGTCGACGTTTGCGGCGGAGACGGCGAGGATGACGCTGGGGAGAGGTTAGCGTGCGGGAGACGGGTGGGAGAGGGGGGCGCACCAGTTTGGTTTGGAGATGTAGTCGAGGACGAGGGAGCGGATTTGTCGCTCGATGTCGCTTGGTTGGTCGCCTACTGGGATCTAGGACGCGTTGCGGGTAGTTAGCACGCGTGCTGAGCGTACTCGGTGGGCTCGCGACGGCTAGTCGGGGAGATGGTATACTAGTATAGGACTTTGCTTGCCCTCTCCCGCGCCGAGAAGATAACAGCAGCGTAACAACAAGGATCCTTGTCGCCATAGACGCGTTCCGCCGACTTCGAGAGCTAATGAGACACACCTTTGTTAGACCCGGGAGGTCGACGAGAGTCAGGTCGAGTACGTTGGGGCTGTATATCCTGAGGTGAATGGGGAGCTTGCTGATGCCCTTGTTCTGGCCTGCGACGCGGAATGTCTCCTGCTCGATCTCGCGCCGTATCTCGTTAAAGTCGGTATAGCGTTTGTCAATGTGGAGGAACTGGCCCCATTCCGTGATGTCGGTTGTGGAGTTTTCGGGGACGGGAGTGTGAATGAGCTGGAGGACGAGCGGTCTGCGGGTGACGATGCCGGAGCCGCGAGGAAGGAAGTCACGGCCGACGATGCTGTTCGGGAAGCGCAGGGGTTCAGCAGGGAGGGACGGGGAGAGATAGAATAGGGACGGACGTTTCGAGGACACTAGACTTTCCCGCAGACTGGCTGCCGACCTATAGCACTGATTAAGAACACGAATGGCGCGTCGAACAAGCGGGGGAACGTACGACAGCGAGCTGGGGCATGTCCAGCTCTCCACCTAGAGAGGCACGTGAATTGGGAAGCAGAAAGAGGCGGGGCGGGAGACGTACCAAGGTTGGCGAAGGTGTCCTGGAGCTTGTTGACGAGCTTGATGAGGTCCGCGTCCATGGCGGGCGGCGGCGGCGGCGGGGGTGGCGGGTCGTGGTAGTCGTAAAGGAGTTCGTACTGTCTACACAACCGACTCCAGTCTCTTACCCGCGACCGGCGCCAAAAACGCGTCGTCACGCGGCAAGCGACAGCGCTCGAGCTGCACCTCCTTGCGCCGGCCAACGCGAGCAGTCGGCAACACGCCGCTTCTTAAGTTCGACCTGCATACCACTCTCCTCGGCTACACACCCCCGCAATTTCTACACTTCGTGTGCGAGTTGACCTCTCCTCGGACGTGATCCATCTCACAAGCCGCACCAATAACCCAAGCGTGTGACGGAGAATCTCAAGCGTTGCATCAAGCGTCTCAGCGTCGTTGTCGAGGCGATTCCTTCCAAGGCTTGTGTGCGCCAGACACACTGCATAGCCGTCTTGGACAATCTGCGTAGACTGCCGCCCACAAGTAACCCCTCGGCCGCGCGCATACCCTTCTCAATCCACAGAGAGACACCCTCAACCAAACTCCCCTGTGCACAAATGTGCACTGCGTATCTTGTCATCGAACGCGATAAGGCATACCGTCGCCACTCGTGGATCGAACGTCCTCGTGTACTTCACCTTGTCAAAGGCCACTTACATGGGTGTACCTTCTAGGGCTTCCGACCCTAACGTGAACTAGTCCTCCCGCTCATGATATCTCGCATCCGTTCGCCGCTTTCCTGCTCCGTAGAAGAATTAAGGATACGAATCGGGCGCATGAGATGAGCTGCACTGGATGTATCTCCATATATATGAGCCATCCCACGCTCTCAACGCAAGTATCGGACACAGTTAGTTAACTAGTGACATAACATCGTCCCTTTTCAAAGCTACGGTGACGGTAAGTACATGGCTTCTTCCGCAAATGCCGAGGGCTTGCGCGTCCAGTGGCACTGCGCATGGTGACTTGTTTGAAGACAGTACCCTTTCTGAGCAGAAGTTAATGAGGAACAGCGGGCTGCTACCTCTTGCCTCCTATTCACGTCTAGTTTCCATCAGTCTGAAGCATCGATTGCCTGCCGTTCTAGGTTGTACTGACAACGTGAAGATGGCCAAATGAAAAGCGCAGTCGGTACAAACGGTGTTGTTTCGTGCTGTGACAGTGTCCAAATATGGAGCTTCAGACGCCCGATGTCACGTGCATGTGGAATCAGGCAGCCGGTGGCGGTAGGGAACCCTTCGTCTTACGCTTCATCCCAGCTGCCTGCGCTCATTTCCGTGCTCGTCTGAAGCGGCTCGCGATGCCGTCCACTTACGAGCCTCTTGGCCAGGACGCTCCGGACGACGCCTTCCATGCAGGATCGTCCTCGCGCCCTGCAGTCAGCGCCGCCTATCTTCCCAAGCCCGAGACATACTATGGCGACGGCCCCTTTGACCCTCCGAGCTCGGACGATGAATCCGACATCCTGCTTGAGAAGGGCGCCCCCCGTTCCCCTAGCCTCATCGAGGAGGACGGCGATCTCGTCGTGGGTAGTAGCAGTCGCAAAGTATGTTCCTTCTGTCCCGTTCAGTCCGTCTATGAGTCCAATGTAACACCCTCGCACCCAAGACACGACCGGCATCCTTGAAATACCTCATTATCTCCCTCGTTTCTCTCGTTTCCCTTGCCGTCTTCATCGGCATATTCGCCGCAAGATCCTACACTGGCACCGCTTTCCGCATACAGGGCGTCCAGCACCTCACCATGGACCATATTTTCAACGGCACCTTCTCCGCACACAGGAAGGACATCCACTGGGTCCCAGAGGGTGAGTTTCTCCCGCTATCCGTCAACATAAATTCTTCCTCTCTGGCTGTGCGGTGCATGTGCCTCCCGTGTCAAATCCCAGAACGTATCCAACAATGTCGCATCACCATCTATTTCGGGGTTGCCTGCGTCGTTCAGGTCCACGTGAAAAGGGAGCTCTGTAGCCATGAACTTTTGAGAGTAATCCCAAGGCATGCCATTGACGTCGAAGGACTCGTCTAGGAAAACCTACTCAGATGCATGCACTAGAGGATGCGTCATTGGTACAGAGCCAGCAGAGCGCACGACGACTACCCGTCTGAAGTTCGTCTAATGGCAGTGATCATGGGATGGGTTGAGTGCTTCGTTAGTCCTCAGTGCAAACATGCATGATACGCTCCAATACGCCTACTAACGCCGAACATGTAGCGGGGGATGGTGTGTACGCAGTCGTCGAAGGCTCGAGTATTTCCCTCCACGATCTCAAGACCAACACCACGCAGGTATTGGTCTCTCTGTTTGACATCAAAGACGTGAGCGCATTCCGTTCACTTCGTACCTTCTCCTGTTTTCATCAAGGCGACAGGAACATGGCATTCCGCTCAGTTGGGCAGAGTGGAAGCTTTCCAAGGACATGAAGTATCTCCTCGTCAAGGCTGACTATCAGAAGGTTGCTCTCTCATTCTCTGCCAGATATAGTTCGTATCTGACACACAGCAGCAATGGCGGCATTCGAGCTTCGGCAACTACTATGTGCACGAGTTCGCGACCAAGGTGACCCGCCCCCTGATCCCACCCTCCCGACCACCCGTGACCGCGTATGCTACGTGGTCGCCAACGGGCGATTCCATCGCGTTCGTCGCCTTGAACGATCTCTACGTCGTCCCCTCTCCCTTGTATGTCCCCGCCCGCGCTCTCCAGCTCCCTGACCACTAACCACTCGGTAGCGACGACCCGGTCCGCGTGACGACCTCCGGCAACGCCTCCCTCTTCCACGGCGTCCCCGACTGGGTGTACGAAGAGGAGGTGTTCTCGTCCGACTACGCGCTCTGGTGGGCGCCCGACTCGTCCAAGCTCGCGTTCCTCGCGTTCGACGAGACCGCCGTGGACGAGTACACGTTCCCGGTCTACAACCCGACCGAGGACTCGCACACGGTCGTGCCGTACCCCGGGCACGTCGTCATGAAGTACCCGAAGCCGGGGTACGCGAACCCGCTCGTGAGCGTGCACGTGTTCAGGCTGGACAGCTACCTCGCAAGTGTCAGGCAGGTCGGGGGTTCTGGTAACGTTAACACGACGGAGTTTGCGAAGCAGGCGACGCTAGAGCTGGACTGGGACGGGAGACAGGCGAGGGATAACAGTGTGGTTGCGGAGGTCGCTTGGGTGAGCGGGAGCGCACTGCTTGTGAAGGAGGTGAACCGGGCGGCGGAGGACGGGCATGTGGTCTACTTCGACTTAGGCCAGGTGGGCGCTATTGGGGTGCCGGTGAGGAAGTTGGGGAAGGAGGGCGAGCAGGGAGATGATGGCTGGATCGACGCTGTGCGTGCCGCTTCTCCTGTCCAATTGCGCTCGAAGAAGTTGTGCATGTGATGCGCAGGGGTGTGAGTTCGAGTGTAATGCTGACGCGAATGCGCGGTCCCAGTCGCAGGCGATCTATCCCATCGAGGCCGCGTTATCGCAGAACGGTGCGCCCGCTTACCTGGACGTAGTCCCCACCCCGGAAGGGTACAACCATATCGCGCTATTCAGCCCTGCGAACTCGAGCACGCCGCAGTTCCTGACGTACGGCGAGTGGGAGGTCACGAGCGGGATACTCGCCGTCGACAACAACCGTTCTCTCGTGTGAGTTCCTGTCCTTGGCTTGACGCGGAATATGAGGCTGATGCGCGGACGGACAGGTACTTCCAGGCCGCGAACCCATCGTCGACGCAGCGCCATATTTACTCGGTGCCGTTGCCGAAGGGGAGGGACGCGGAACGAGTCGCGCCAAGCTCTCTTACGGACGTGTCGAGCCCCGGGTATTATGATGCTAGCTTTTCGCCTGGGGGCGCGTTCTACCTCCTCAGCTACCGTGGACCACATCCGCCATGGCAACGCGTCATCCACGTTGGGGATCATAGTGAGCACTCCCTTCTGTTTCGAAAGGTTTAGTATATTCTGACGAGTGGAAATGAGTGCAGCGTTCGACTACGTCGTAAGCGAAAACCCGCAACTGAACGACACGCTCGCCACGTACGAGCTCCCAATCGTGACCCACACCACGATCGACTCGGACGGGTACGAGCTGAACGTGCTCGAGCTGCGCCCCGCGCGGATGGACGACTCGGGCCGGACGAAGTACCCCGTGCTCTTCCGCGTGTATGGGGGCCCCTTCTCGCAGATGGTCGACGTAGGCTTCCGGCACGACTGGCACGACTACGTCGTGTCCGAGCTGCAGTACATTGTTGTCATCGTCGATGGTCGCGGGACGGGATGGAAGGGAAGGGGCTTGAGGAACCCGGTGAAGAACCAGCTGGGGAAGTGGGAGACGCGGGACCAGATCAATGCTGCGAAGGTGTGGGCTGCGAAGGAGTATGTGGACACGAAGAGGATCGGGATTTGGGGATGGAGCTATGGTGGGTTCATGAGTTCGAAGGTCGTCGAGGCTGATGCGGGCGTGCATTCATTGGCGATCGCTGTTGCGGTGCGTGGGCCTCCATCGCAGTGCTCTTGCTTCTGCTGATACCCTTGAGCAGCCCGTGACTAGCTGGAGGTTATACGGTTGGTCCAAATGTTGTTCAGCCTCAACCGCTCACGAACTCATCATCGCACTCTGCAGACTCGATCTACACCGAGCGTTATATGAACCTGCCAGCAGTCAACCCCGACGGTTATGTGACCGCATCGATCTCGAACGTGACCGGGTTCCACAACGTCGACTTCCTGCTCATGCACGGCAGCGGAGACGACAACGTACACTACGCCAACTCCGCGCACCTGCTTGACATGTTCACCGCCGAGAAGGTGCGCAACTTCCGATTTAGGATGTTCACCGACAGCGATCACAGCATCTACCGCCGTGGGGCGAACCGGGAGTTGTACGAGCAGATGACGGAGTTCTTGCTGGAGAAGTGGGGAAAGGGTGGGAAGAGGAGGGCGTGGTGATGTTAGCGTATACGCACGTTAGTATTGGTTATTATTGGTATATAGACATACGGGGGGTCTGAAACTAATCGTTGTACTAGTGCGACCCCAGAAGCGACGCATTAAGCGCCTGACCCCAGAAGCGACTGACACGCCTCTAGGTCTCGCATTTCCCTGTCAATAAATGCACAAATGTTACAAATGAAACTACGTGCTTCTGAACTATCACTTCCAAAAAGAACGAAGGAAATCGGGAGGAATTTGCTCCCGATACAAGTCAATCTGAGTAGGGTTTTGAGGGTTTACCGACCTTGTTGAGTTGTCACGCAAAGATCGGCATGGCCGATCTTCTTGTAACTTTGCAAAGTGTTCTTAAAATGCTCAATAAACGTTCTCGTCGAAGTTCCGAAGGATTCCGGGTTGCGGCATTTGAAGGTTGGGAAGGGGTCTTTCGAGCGTGACATTCAGCCACTGACCAAGATAAGTCGGACTTTAAATTAGAGCGCTCCTCGACTGTTGCCACGGATGCAGTGACAGCGTCTCCTGCTGTCCTGCTTCGGTGCTTCTCTTGCGTGGCTTCCTGGTGCTCTCGTTTTCCCTTTCTATCCTGCTTCTTTCCCATGTCTCGTCCGAAGGCTCTCAGGCGACCTCTTACGGGCGCTCCCAAAGGCAGTCGGCGGTGCACACGTCAATATACCGAGGAGACCATGCGCGAAGCTATCCAGCAGTATGAAGAAGGGCGGAACCATGGTGAGACTTACAGATCTATTGCAGCAGCCATGGGAGTTCCAGAGGCAACCCTCCGGATGCGACACCAAGGTCTCCGCACATCCCGGCGTGCTAGTCATGCTCGATCCCAGCGTCTCTCGCCCGAAGAGGAAGACGCGCTCTGCGATTGGGTCGAGCATCTCTGCTACATGGGGTTTCCGGTTGACAAGCGCACCCTTG